AGTTTTTGTATTTGCCGCTTGCTCAGAGAGGTCTCTAGTACATTAGGTTAGCCCTGTCTCCTACAATTCCTGTCTCTCTCAGATGATCAACATCAGTAAAAGAGTAAATTAGTGAAGTTTTGTTACAGATAAAATACTGAAACAGTACACACTGTGGCATCTACTGGGGATCTCTTCTGAATGTTGATAGGATTTTTGGCACAGTAAAAGAGAATAAAAAGTAAAAATGGCCTTTATTCTAAGAATACAGAGAGAACCCCGTGACCACCGGGGCCTATCTTTCTCTGCTGGAAACATGTTGTGGGGGGAATACATATAGTTTCTGACCATGGTGGTGCTTCATATGGTATTAGTGATGTGGGGGCAGCTGATTGGGACTCTTTTTGCACCATACCTAAGTTGTCATAGGGGAGGGGAAAATGACCTCAAGGTAAACATCCCCTTGTCTTGCCTCCCAGTGCTATAATATTGCCTCTAGTGCAAAATCCTTTCATTCCCACGTTTATTGTTAGGAAAAGTGTGAAGTCTCTCTCTTACTTCTTACTGCTGAAAGAGGGCTTCATTTTGGGGTTTAGGAAGTTTGATAGGATGATGGTTGTTGCCCATGCAGAAGCTGGTGCGAGATGTTTCAGCCAGGACAAGTTTATCATTGGTGACTGGAAAATAAAGAGACAAGGTGTTATGAGAAGGCAGGCCACTATCTTATTTAAGGACCCAGGTGAGGTAGAAGGAAAGGTGCCTTTGATTTAGATATGTCATTTTATCAGGACCATAGTGAGGCAGAATCCTTACCATGGTGAGGTACAATTCTGAAAAATAAGTGTGGAGTTAGGAAGAGTGAAGTTATGAGAGGTGATTATTCTCCCATCTGAAAGGGTACAAGTTAAGAGTGTAGGTATGTAGGACTTGTCTCTGGTCCAGGGGTTGAGCTGGAAAGAATAAGAGCACTGAGGAGGGGTATGGCTGTGTCAATATGAGGAGATACGAGCCTAGGTCTTCAGGGATCTCACATTTGACTAAAGATTTTCGGAGAATGGCATGTTTTACTAACTTTACCTTTTTATTTAGGAGAGAAATCAGCTGTGGTGTCATTTGAAACCAGTTGAGTGTAGTTAATTATGGCCGCAACATACCAGGCACCCACTGGTCAGTGGAGGGCTGAGCCAGGGCTGGCAGATGGGCTGGGAAAGGTTCAGACCTGGCTCCTGCCCCAGCCTCAGCCCTAGAGTCATTGCTCTGTCACTCCCTGCATCATATAACTTCTATTCTGGAAGAGATCTGGTTGATCCCAGCAAAAGGATTCCAAAAGGCATTTGTAATTATCTCTTAATTTTAGTTGTTGAACATCCAGAAGATTGATAACAGTGCAGTGCAGTACAGACAGAAAGCTTAACATAGACCATTAAATGTAAATACTTTTTCTATTAACCATGGATGTTTAACATTTGAGCACTGAAGAAATTTGTGACATTTTTTGGACTGCTCACTATTTAAGCATCTCGTCTAAACATAACATATACATTACATAAATTTTTGTTCAAAACTTATTATTTGACTGATGGTCTGACATGAATATTCTGGCTGGAACACAAGAGAAAGACAGAAGACATCTAAAAAAATTCCCAATTTTATATTTGATGGCATGAATATACCATCTGATCAGTAAAATGAATGGTGTTAGTCATATGAACTTTAGTTGACGTGTCTCCTCCCATAAGATATGGAGATTATTGGGCCTCCAATTAATAAACCTGAGCTGGTTAAAGTAACCAGGTGGCCACTTTCTTGTTTATCAATTGGAGTCCTATCCAATGTCTCCTCACCCCAAGGGATTTTGTTTAATGAATTTTAGCATCATTTTGACTAGCTGGCAACCTAGGTGGAAGCATGTTTTTACATCTATAACCCAAATAAACCCTGATTAAATGATCTGAAAATGTAAAAGGGGAGGAAAAAGTGTTGAGCTCAAATAAAAAAAAAAAAACAGCTGTTTGCAGAGCAGGCAAATGAACAATCAGACAACAGATTTATAAATTGCCAAGCATCTTATAACATTGCAGTGTACTCAAGTATATTTGGCCAATTTGAAATATAATAAATAGACTAGTGTGAATCTTTTTGTAGATTAATTAATAGAGATCTCTTGAAATAAGAATACCAGAAAAGGAACCTAATTTATGGCTAATCTGAGATAGCTGAGAAAGTTAAAAAAGGAAAGTTAATCTTTTGGGGCCTGCTTGTTCCCTAAGCAGGTGTAGAGATCTGTCTTGCAGACATGTGTGGGCAATCAACATGGCTGCTGGCAACCACGTGGCCTGCCAGAAGCCTGGAATGACTGAGACCAAGTGTAGTGAGGTGGCGGAGAAAATGGCAATGCAGGGGAAGGAGACAAAGAACCCTCAGGCAGGACAGATGGCTTTGGGGGCGGGGTTGATTGAGAAATCAGAAACTGGGGAGAAAGGCTAGGGGAAGGATTAGAGATCCTAGGTGAAGGATGAGAGACCCTAGGGAAAGGAGAAAGAGAGGATGACACAGGAGGTGTAGAAACCTTTGGCTGACAAACCTGCAGGATTTGGTATGAGAGATACAGGGGAGAAGCTGTAGAGAGAGGAACTGCATCATAAGTGTGGGGAGGGGGAGAGATCCTGGTGGAGCAGAGCAAACCAGAAGTATTTGGGCCATCACAGAAGACAGAGTGAAAGAAAGACACATCCTTAAAGTGAGAAAGGCCTAAAGATGAAGGGTTTCTGCCAACTTGTCACCATTGTGACAAAAGCATAAATAGAAGATCAGCTTTTTGGTTTTTGTAGCCTTTTTGGTGCCAAGAGCACCAAAGTTATGAACCGTGTACCCCGGAGTTGTGTTTTTTGGGGGGCAGGAAGTGGTCCTCATGACTGAGTTATAAGTGAGCTGAGAGAACAACTTTGCCTCAGGAAGTAAGAGCTGTAGCTAGCTCCAAGGAATGTGGAAGCTGTGCTGGGTCACAATTAACAAAAGAGAGCATCACCTATTTTGAAAGTGTGACACAGAAAGTCCCAAAACCTATTACAATGGGCCAGGTTACCACAGAGTGTGGGGCGGGGTCCCAGCAAACAAAAATATGTCTTGCCTCTAGCCAAGTGGCCTAAGGAGTGTGAAAACTGGTATCCTTATTCAGGGAAGATCAGGATGGGTTTTCTGTCACAAGCTTGCTAAGGAACCGAAACAAAAAATCCCAGACAGTGGCTCACCAGTGTTCAGTCAGGAAGGTGGCTGTTGCATGCAGATTAGCTGCAACAAGTAAAAAAAGCCCTGCAGGAAGAAAAAGGTGGTTGTTAAGCAAGGGGACTCAAACTGGGAGGGATTCCCAGGAGCCACTCACTTTGTCTTCCTGGTCAGGGAACCAAATGATAGGATTTTCACTGCAGTAAAAGAGAGAATACAAAGTAAAAATGGCCTTTATTCTAAGAATGCAGAGAGAACCCCATGACCACAGGGCCCTGGCTTTGTCTGCTAGAAACATGGTGTGGAGGGCATACATATAGTTTCCAACTGGGGTGGTGCTTCAGGTGGTATTTCTGATGTGCAAGGAAGCTGATTGGGACTCTGCACCACAGGTAAGTTGTCATAGAGAAGGGGAAAGTGACCTCAAGGTCCCCTGGTCCCATGTCCCACTGCTGTAATATCATATCTAGGGCAAAATTCTCTAAAAGATCATAGCCATTTTTAATTACTGTTATCTTGTTTTGAGATTCTGTATCATTTTCATTATTGAGTTGAGTTTTATTCTGCTTTGTTTTGTTTGATTCTGTTATATACAATGGCATGGGCAGTGACTTCAAAGATATAAAGATATGTTATGGTAGCCATTTTCTATTTACTGTTGTCTTGTTTTGAAGTCCTTTATTACATTCATTGTTTCATTTTTACTGGTTCTATTCTGCTCTGTTTTGTTTGATTTTTACTATTTCTGAATGTATTTCAGCTATTTTGAAGACCAAAGGAGGCATTATAATAGCCATTGTTGATTTTGTACTGTTTTGAAGTCCTGTGTTGCTTACACTGTTTTGTTTCAATTGGATTTATTTAGTTTATTTTGGTTGGTTTTAATCTCTTAAAAATAAAAAAAAGACTGAGGAGGAGTATGGATAAGTAGGGAACTTGGGCTCCCTCTGTAAAGAGAGGGAGAGAGAAGACAAACACCAGAAGGATTCCTACTCTGTGTGAGTGCACAGATTTCACCAGGTCCCATGAATAACTCTAGGCATTACCCAAAGTACCAGTCAAGTCCAAATGGTGCTGAAAATGCTCAAAAATAAAAACAAGAGATGGAATCAGGTGTATTGAGCTCATGATCCTAGATCCTAAGACAAGTATCAGGTAAGTAATCTCATACTGTCAAGGAGTAGTGGTCCAGTGACCGGAGCCGCGGAAGACAGGAGGCCAAACTCGAGCAGGATCAGCTCTCAAACTTTATTGCGTACAGCGAACCGGACCTAACAAGGTCCGCCACCCTCAACGTTGGTTCCTCTTCCGCCGTTGGGGGCAGGAACAACCTCTTATAAGGGGAAGCAGTATCCAATCACAGAGAAGCGTGCCTAACAAGCTGATAGGCTAGCGTCACGGGTAACTGGGCAGATATGACAATTTGGCAGGCTTGTTCAGGCCGGGAAGAACCCGGAAGCAGGAAATGGGCACCATTCATAGGCGGCTTCCCACATCTCCCCCTTTTTTATTTATTAAAATAGGATGGTCTGTGGGTCCCTCCAAGGTGTCTATGACCTTGTTGCTGTTAGACACCTAGGAGTGGGCCTACCTTGTAGGCCGAGGCATGAGAGAATGTAGAGGTCTATACCCTGCTGTGCATCACCCTGTTTTGTGCATATCCTTGCGCCAGGACCATGCTCAAGGTGAGTGGTTCATTTTTTCGCAGGGCCAGGCTTTTGTGAACCGAACCTGGATGCATATAGACATTCATTCCTGCCTTCCCCCCAACCTTTGGGGCGGACGGGACTGCAGTACCCTTGGTCTCGCATCTCAATGCCAATAATTTGACTCCGGGAGGGACCCCTGGCCTTATAGGCCATGTATATCTGAGTGGAGCCTGTCTTAGGTTGACCGGGAGGGCTTTTCCCGTCTTACCCGTCATTGGCTTGCCCACTCAGCTCTTATAGCTGATGTTCTGCAATGTGAAGGAGATATGCGGCAGCCTGCTGGCCTGATGGGCCACCTGCTGCCATTTGCATGGCTGCCATAGCTGTGACCTTGACCTGTTGCTGGGTTTGCATCGGAGTTAAGCGGGTGGGTCATATTGGCTGCGGAGGATGTATTTTTCAGTGTCTGATTAAGTGTCATAAAGGGGCGGAGGTCTAAGCAAGCACCCAGCGCATTGCAAAGTTGATGCTGCGCGAAGAGGGAGGAAGTATGTTTAAGGGGATCAGGTTGAGGTTCATTACAATATCCCGTGGCCCCCCAAGCGGCCCCCACTGAACAATTCCGAAGGGTGATCAATAGGAACCCACAGAATAGAAAAAACTCCAAACCAGACATTTTAGTTTGTAGATGGTCTCGGGCGCTGAGCGTCGGTCCCAGAAGGGTCGAGTTGACTTGTGTCTGCGGGCTTATCCTCCTGTGCTTTATCAGGAACTGGTGGGGAGTTTACTGCTCGCGTCAATCTTTCCGGGACCCACAGCGGTTCGCAGCCTGGTTCCTGTGGGAAGACACAAACTGCACCTCGGGTCCAGCTAACCACTGGATCCGGGCCCATCCATTGTCCTGTAAGGACATCTTTCCATCTCACCAGCCCTTTGTCGGCCGGGGACGGGTTATTGTGCTCCATGGCAGGGGAATGATTATTGTGATTAAGGTTTAAAAAATTTATGGTAAAGAGTGCCAATGATATTCTTCCTTTGGGCGTTAGGCCGTGGCCACCCAATTCACGGCACAGGCGTGTCCACTCTTCTAAGGACCTATTTTTGTTAGTTCTTAGGACATCACGGCACTCCTTAGTGCACTGTTCAAAAATCAATTGTTTTATGAGAGGGTGAGCTGCCTCAGCATCTGGAAAAATCCTGTTAGCGGCCTCAAGCATGCGGGCCACAAAGTCTGAAAATGGCTCTCCCTGCCCTTGTATAATTTTTGTAAGGTGACCCGTATGTTCTCCCTTTCCAGCCAGCCGTCTCCAGGCCTGGAGGCCACAGCGGCTAATTTGTTCATAAACCTGGCGAGGGTATTGAGTTTGATCTTCCTCAAAGGCTCCTCGCCCTAATAGAATATCCCTGTTCCACTCTCTCTGGTTATTTTCCCTGTTGGCTGCCGCCTGCTCTACACAGAATTCCTCATTCCAGGACTTCCAATCTAAATATTGTCCGGGGGAGAGGCAGGCGCGTGCCAGCTGGGTCCAATCTCCAGGAGTTAAAAGCAGACCTGCCAATGCCTCTAAAAGCGCCATGGTAAATGGCGCATTGGGCCCATAAGCTGAAACTGCGTCCTTGATAGTTTTAAGTTGTTTAATTTCTAAGGGCTCATAATATCCTCCTCCTCCTCCTCCCCTGCCTCCTACTTGTACCGGGAATGCATGGAGACCGGAACACTCAAAGGGAAGCCGCGACCATACCCTCTGGTGGAAGGAACGTCCTCCTCCCTCCCCAGATGGGGGCGCAGAAGGCAACCCAGGAAGTAGCTCTCCCTCTAACCAGGGCGGTGCCATAGGTTGTGGTGGCAGCCCAGGGAGCAACTCCTCTTCTGGCCACGGCGGTGCAGTGGGGCCTGGCGCCCTGAAAGGGGCGATCGTGGGTCGCGAACTTGCCAAAGGGCGGAAGGGCTTAAGCTCCTCCCGTAAGGCGGAGTAGCTCGGGCAGGGTGGTGTTTGGTTTCCCTTTTTATCTTCCCGAGCCCTAAGTTCCTCTTTTAACGGTGTAGGAGGGTCATGCTTAGCAAAGACGACCTCCTCTTCTGAGCCTTCCGAATCCGAATCAGAATTAGAGCCCTGAGGGTCCTCCGGAGACCCACAATCGGCAGTGGCTCCGGGCTCCTCTGAGCATTCTGATCGAGCTCTATCAAAAGCCTGTCGGGCTGTATTAGGGAAGCGAAAGCAAAACAGATGCAAAGGGAAAAGAAAAGAAAAAAAAACCGGCGTCCACTCGTGTGGCGCTCAAAATCTGTTAGGTGCGTCCACCCAACCCAGGTGACCCAGTACTCACCTGTCCCGGGAACCGCTGTATCTCACGTAGCTGTATCTCACGTAGATCAGGGTGAAGAGAAGAGGCGCTCGCGGCCTTCCGTTGTTATTGGGCCAGGTCCTCCGTCGTACCGCAGGCGACAGCAATCGCACCTCCCGGCCGAAGAGGCACGTCGCTGAGTTCCCCGTACGGGCCACCAGATGACCGGAGCCGCGGAAGACAGGAGGCCAAACTCGAGCAGGATCAGCTCTCAAACTTTATTGCGTACAGCGAACCGGACCTAACAAGGTCCGCCACCCTCAACGTTGGTTCCTCTTCCGCCGTTGGGGGCAGGAACAACCTCTTATAAGGGGAAGCAGTATCCAATCACAGAGAAGCGCGCCTAACAAACTGATGGGCTAGCGTCACGGGTAACTGGGCAGATATGACAATTTGGCGGGCTTGTTCAGGCCGGGAAGAACCCGGAAGCAGGAAATGGGCACCATTCATAGGCGGCTTCCCACAGTCCAGAAAGGATTTGGCTCCCAAACTGGCAGCTTTGGGTGTCCCAGGATAAATTGTGACACTCACTAGTTGCCTTGCCTCACTTTGTCTTAGTCCTATCATCTCAGGAGCACAATATACCCCATACTGCAGAGGTTAACTACAAAACAAGTGTTTCTCAAACACAAACACAATCTCAAGCTGTGTGTGGAAGCCTACTGCCTCTGGAGAAAATTCACTCCAAGTCATTTGCCTCACTTTGGATAGTTCTCCACCAAGGCAAGTGCTCCATATGGTGATCACCATGGGATGCCATGCCCACATCTAGCATCCTTGGTTACTTGTAAAAAGGTACAAAAGAAGAAAATCTTCCTCTAGACAGCTATCCCTCCTTTCTGGCTGCTCTGCTGCTTCTGGCCACCTCCCTGGAATGCTTGCCAAATATCATACCGTTCATGATGTGTTCCTATGTAATAGATCTTCAGATTGTTGTGTACCTGGAGCAAAGAATTGCAGTTATGGGGCTGGGGATTTAGCTCAGCGGCATAAGCACCTGCCTTGCAAGCAGGCGGTCGTGAGTTCGATCCCTGGTACCGATAAAAACGAAAAAGACAAAAAAAAAAAAAAAAAAAAAAAGAATTGCAGTTACATATTCAATGGTAAAAGAAAAAGCAGCTGCATGTATGAAAGGTGACAGAAAAAGTGTGTTCAGGGGATGCAGCTTCATGTCAATAGAAACAAAACAGGAAGCATGAGTGGGGAAAGCGGTGTTTGGACGATAGTGGAGTAGGAAGAAAAAAGCTAAATCAGGGTTTTGAAATTGAAAGAAAGATAACCTACGCTCTGGTATCTCTCACTGCATTGTTCTGGACATGATTTACATAAATGATTGACAGAGTATGGAGTCATCAAGTGTGCATGGCTCTCCCAAAATTCACTGTTTGAATCACATGCATGGCATGCAGTCTTTATGTGTGAATTTTGAATAAAGATTGAGTGGGGGAAAATGTTACTGTAACTAAAGTACTATAAATAACACATATGTGCTCTGCTGTAGAGCTGGGTATATTTCCTGAGATTTGTTTCTTCTTATTTCTGCTTCACTTAGGGTAGGAAAATAACTTCCCCTGGTGTGTTGCCCAAGTTCAGGTAGCTGGAGAGGGAGTAGTCTTGCAGCGCCAATTGTGGTACATTACCCTCTTTCTCATTACCCTCTTTCATCTGTCTACCTCCTGCCTGCCATCTTGGTACAGGCATGGGGATCATACAACAGGGTGCTTCAAGATGTAGTGACATCATGTGAACATTAAAGGGTGGCTGAGGGTCTGCCACTGTTCAGTAGGGCACTCCAACTGCAGTGCTTGGGAGTCTGTTGGGCAGCAACTTTTAGTGATCGTCTTGACAAATAAAACAAGGGTTAGGCACAGGCCCTCTTAATTTATGAGAATATATCATCTGTATTTATTTGTCATTTGTTTATCTTCATCTGAGAAATGTGTGTTCTTCTCAGATGCCCATATTTGGAGAGTTTTTGAATTTTGGGGATTTGATGTTTTTCAATTCTTTTTATGTCCTAGATATAAGTCCTTTGTCTGATGGATTGTCAGCTAAGATTCCTTCCCATTCTGTGGATTTTCTTTTTCACTTTGTTGGTGATTTCTTTTGAAGTGCAAAACTCTTTTAATAAGATGAGATTCCATTTGTTGATTCTTTGAAGTAGTTCCTATGCAGTTTGTGTTTTGTTCACGAATTCTTTGCCTACTCCTATCTCTCCAATTTATACCTACATTGTCTCCAGAAGACTTAGTGTTTTTGCTTTAATATTTAGATCTTTGATTCATTTTGACTTTAGTGTAGTGCATGGTGATATACTTGGTTCTAGTTTCAGTTTTTGACATGTGGAAGCCAATTTTCCAAAACCATTTATTAAAGAGGCTATCTTTCTTCCAGTGAACCTGTTTAGCCACTTTGCATGATATCAGGCAGCTGATTCTCTTTGTAGTTGTGTTTGCACCTTCTATTCTGTTCCATTGATCTTCAGTTCTGTTTCTATTTTCTCACTTTATCTTTATAGTATTATTTCACCTCAGGAATTGAGATTCTTCCCTCCTTGCCTTTGTTGCCAGAATTGACTCTGCTATTCTAGGTTTCTTCTGTTTCCAAACAAATTTTAAGAATGTTTTCTCCAGATCCACAAAGTTTGTTAATGGTATTTTTGGGGGGACTGCATAAAATCTGAATAGCAATTTTGGGATTATGGCCCTTTGCAGAATGTTGTTTCTTTCTAGCCAAGAGCAAGGAATATCCTTCCATTTTCTAATATCCTCTTCAATTTTGTTTTTAATAGTAGTATAATTTTCAGCATATAGGTCCTTTACATTCTTGGTTAGGTTGATTCCTAAGTATTTCATTTTTTAGATGCTATTGTGAAAGGCAATATTTCCATAATTTCTCTCAATGAGATTTTTGTTTGTGTATAGGAATGCTATTGATTTTGAGTGTTGTTGTCATGGGTTGTAAAGAGAAAAATTAGAATCAGGCTACAGAATATTATAATAATATTATGATATTAATATTATGATTATAATATAGTAATATTATATTTAGATGATCACCCCGAGTTAACACAAGAAAGAGCATGAAATCTATCCAAAACACTAAAGACATAGAATATTCATCCAAGAACCTGAATCCCACAGCAATGTCCTCCATGAGTCCAGATGAAGAACTAGAGCCCATGACAGTGACTCCCACAAGTCCAGCTGGAGGTCTAGACCCCAGGTCTAGAGAAGAGGGACTCACAGAATTCTGTTTTATGGATCTGTTCTGGAAGGCCCAAAGGTGAGCAGTAGAAGCTAGAAAGTCAATGCCAGTGGGGTGAAGGAGCTGTGTTAATATGTTGAAGGTTCTACACTGGAGCTGAGAAGTTATGCTTAAAATAAAGACCTGAGCTTTCCAGAAAAGCACCACAGCCATCCTCAGTGACATGGAGGCCCTGTGCCCCCCCTTCCCCCATGATAAGCACAGTTGAGTACATGCCAGGAAACCAGCATGATGAGTTTGTCCTGGAGATTAAACAGCACAGGTCTTCCCCTCCAGGCCCAGGAAGCAATGATCAATGTAAGGACCAGAGATCCCCCAAGGTGAACCACAGCCACTCTCACCTCAAGGTTCTGAGCTCCTCCAATGACAATGATCAAAGTCACATGGGTGCAGTGTGTCATGATGAGCTCCTCCAGGAGAACCCACGGCTCAAATAGTAACACATAGGAAACCCCACAACATCTAGCACTTCTCCACCTCTCTATTTATGCTGGTAACTTTCCTCAGGTGGAACATTACACTCAGCACCATGATGATTTAATTCATCTGACATTAAGTTAACCATAAGTTTTTAATCCATAACAATTTTGTATTCAGCTACAATGCTGAATTTATTACATCTAGTAGTCTTTTAATGGAGTTTTTGAGGTTTTCTATGTAGAGTATCATGTCATCTAGAATAGTGATAATTTAAATTCTTCCCTTCTTATCTTCATTTCTTTTATTTCACTCTCTTGTCTGATTCCTCTGGCTACCATTTCTGGAATATTGAATAGGAATGATGATAGTGGAAATCCTTGTTCCTGATTTTAGAGTGAAAACGTTGTTTTTGTCCATTGAATATAATGATGGCTGTTCTGTTTTCATAGTTGGCCTTTATCAGATTGAAATAGATACTATCTATTCCCAGTTTCTGTAGGGTTTTTATCATGAACAAATGTTGTACTTTATTAAAAGCTTTTTCTGCATCTATTGAAATGATCATGTAGTTTTTGCTTTCGGTTCTGTTGATGTGGTGTATTGCATTTATCAATTTGTGTATGTTAAATCATCCCCACATTCCTGGAATAAATTCCACTTGGTCATGATGTATAATTTTCTGAATGATTTGCTGAATTGTATTTGCCAGTATTTTACTGAGAACCTCTGCATCAATGCTCATCAGTGAGATTGGCCTGTAGGTCTCCTTTTTGGTTGGGTCTTTCTCTGATTTTGGTATCAATGTGATACTTGGTTCAAGAAATAATTTAGGGAGGATTTCTTCCATTTCAATTTCATTGAAGAGTTAAGGAGTATTGGCATCAAATCTTCACTAAATTTGTTGTAGAATTCAGCCATGAATTCATGAGGACCTGGGCTTTTCCTTTTTGGCAAATTTTAAATCACATTTTTAGTTTCAATAGCTGATGTTGGGTTATTTAAAATTGCTATATATCTTTGATTGAGTTTGGTAGTTTGTATATTACTAGAATTATGTCCATATCCTCTGTTTTCCACTCTATGTGAGTAGAGATTTTTAAAGTAGGTATTCATGATCTTTTGAATTTCCATGGGATACTAATTTCTCTCTCTTTAGTCTTTATTGCATAAATTGGTTTTTTTTCTTTCTTTTTCTTTATCAGCTTGGCTAGTGGCTTATAAATTTTGTTTGTTCTCTCAAAAACCAACTCTTTGAATCATTAATTCTATGTATTTCTTTTAGTTACAATTGTTTTAATTTCTGCTCTGATCTTTA